TGGACAGTTAGTGTGAAATGGCGAACACCCCGCGTAAGACTTACGTGAGAAAGTGGCAGGGTAGAGACGGTAAGGCGCAAGGTTTCTCAAGTGACTCCGCCCAACTTTATAGATGTCATACCTACGTTCAAATGATCCACATGATCGCTTCTATACGACCAGATCATCCGTGTTCTGGTGACTGGAAAATAATACAATTTCGGAAAAAAGTGACCTCTTTTCTCATGAAAGGCTTACGCGCAGCCAAGGAAGGGAGCAGGGTTAGGAAAATTCACGTTTGAATCACTGAAAATTAGAATCGCTCAAAATACGTTTGGGCCTACACGCCTCTAGGCAGGCAGACGAGGAGAGTAATTTGACCGAACCATTGTGATTACTGGACATTATGATTTCTCTCATGGAATAAGCTATGGTTCAACCTCCTATCATGATGACATAAGATTACTAAAAACACAAAAAGCTATCAAATAATATCCTTCCATAGAATTCTGACTAATACTTGACGGCAAAAACATAGAGTCCAGAGATAGAAAGAAAAGAGCAAAGTTTTTTCGAAGACCGGCCCAACAAGTCGTGAGTAGTGAACTTTTAGTGGGAACAACTCACGGGCTTCTTCTATTCGATGGGGCTGGAAGATTCTTACGAGAGATTCCTATTGCACCGGAGGAACACAAGTGAGTTTCGAGTTGTTTTTCGTTTCAATTTCTGTGCGGTTTTTTCATTCAAACCGGAAATATGTTAATGGAATGGCCTTTTAGGTAACCCGTTCCAAGTATTTCAGAGTTTTTCATGAACGGCACTTGAACCCATCAAAAACGCCCTTCGAACTTTTCCTTTGACCCTTGATCAAATCAGCGATAATGAGTACTTCTGTACTTGTTACAGTACCCGAACACTTCCAATTATGAGAGCGCAGCCAGCTGGAATGGAGATGGGGAATAAGGGGGAGATTCAAATGGGGGAGGGAATGAACAGTAGGCTCAGATGGGTGGGGGGGGGGAATAATCAGTAGTTTCGCGACCGCGCCCCTCTGCTATAACACAAGTGCAAGGACCTAAAGACTCAAAGCTACGTACCTCCATGAGATATGTACACTTCATGCGATCGCGGCTTGAGAATTTTCTTTTGTCCCAGGAGATCCGGCCGAAGTCGAGACCAGGCCCGCATACCGAGCCTGCAAGAAAATTCACTATAGAAATATTGAAATACATCATTATCTCCACTAAATAAGATCAACCCATTTATTCAAGGAGTAACGACAAGACGATTGATGGAGTGGAACTGGCAAAGAGAAAACAAAAGCAAAAAAAAACTTATTGTCAGTAATTATCCGACTTTTTCGGACCACTTATGAGGAGCTACTATCAGAAGTATAAAACAGACGATACGAGCAGAACAACATAGAATGCGCCATGCACTTGACCCTCTGGATTCCAGACACATTTGGACGCGTAATAAGTCTACAGAATGGTTTACAGGACCTATACTCCTTATCCCTGAGACGGAGTAGGCGTGGCTTTTGAGCATGGCATAGAACGGGTTACTCGTGGAATATTTCAAGTTCAAACAACTGCCACTTTGTTGAGTATTAAATGTAGACATGATTACGACTGTTCCAAAATGAAAATACCTCACGAAAACCTGGGCCGCCGGCACTTTAAAATTAAGTGTGCAGCCCCGCCTACCCGATCTCAGGGATTTCGAGTGATATTGTCATTTCCACGCTCTTTGCTGAGCGTGGAAATAAGCAAGGTCCTACAAGAGTGTAATATCGCTTTCACACGATCAGATTAAATTCGTACGTAGCTCAGCTTTGCATAGGCTCTGAACCACCTTTGCTTGAAGGCCTTCGAGCCGTTGATGGGTCCATAGAAGAGACCTGTACCTTATCCTTTACCAAAATTTGAACACCTCTTCAACTACACATTCCACTGCATTCAGAGGGGCGGGAATCACAACTATTGTGCGTTGCTCATTAGCACGCCTCTTAGCTTTATCGCGTCAAAGCGAGGGCCGCACTTAGGCGGGGGGGGCATAGTGACAACTCATCGCTCACCTCATCGTCGCGAAATATTTGTCTACAGGCACATTTGATGACGAAAAGGCGCGAGGATAAAGGATAAAGCCTTCGCCGCTGATTAATCCCTTCTGGGATGCGGCACGCATTCTACTTCCATTCAGAATCGTAGTGGCTTATTGAATGCGATGTGGCCTATACAATGACTTGCGCCAGCCGATGTACAAGTCAGTGTTTTATCCTCCCAGACGAATCTGGTACCAATTTACCGTCCCCGGAGGGTAGAAGGCTTGGTTGGCCTGGGCGGGAGTCGACCCGGGATTCGAACCCGGACCGCGCGAGTGGTGAGCGCGCCACTTGTCACTACACCACCTCCGCCTCAAAAAACTTGGGGAGCAAGGCAAAAATATGGTTTCTGAGCACATAGTGAGTCAATAGTGAAGAACAATGCATGAACTGTACAAAAGCCCCTTTACAAGTCCCCCTACAGTTTCGCGAGCTCACTAACATTCGGAAAAGCTTTCTAGATGTCTGGTCCATCTAGCATAATTGTCGAAATCGTCTATGTCGCTAGGTACAGACGCGACCTAAGGGGTAGCAACAACTTATCACTGCCCCCAAAACTAAATCAGCAAAAGAAACTTGGCAATTGAGACAATTATTTGAGAGCAAAAACAGTGTATAGTAGAGTGTGCTCGACGTGCGACGGTTTCCCACACCGCCTTG